GTGTGATTATACGTGATAACAAAACGTAAAATATGAAACTATGCAGTGTTTTGAAATGTCTAAACACTAAAATTATTAAACGCCATCGTTTTCCCACCCCCACAAATACAACGAGCGTTTTAAAATTTGGTTGGAACGGACAGGGAATCCAAATTTAGGCAAATTAGATCCCACGAAAATATATAAAAATGGATATTTTCTTTGCGATGTACATTTTAAAGAAACGGATTTTGGCCCCAATCAAAAACTTAAAAATACTGCCATTCCTACAGTTCAAATTATGCATGGTAAATATTTGTGTGCAAGTGAATGCCATAGATAATTTTTACAATAATTTCAGATAATATGAACGACCCCGAAAGACACACCCATGATCCCGTAAACCCTATTTCTATACTGGATTCTCAAAAATTTTGTACTGAAGTATCTCGAAATTCCAGAAAAACCCTAAACGAAACTTTAAACCAAGAATCTTCTCGAATACTAAATTTACATTCAAATTCTAGGAATATTTCGCGTACAGCCCGTAGAAACAAAATTAAGGTAGCTTCGTATCGCCAACGATTGAAATTATACTCCAAATTTGAAGTAAAATTAGAAAGCAAAATTTTAAGTCAGGATGCTATAAATTTTTGTTTATCACAATTAAAAAGACGAAATGTCAAACCAAAGGGTCGCAGGTTTACCACTGAAGATAAATTATTTGCATTAATGTTTTATAAACAGTCTGGGAGATGTTATAGAAAAATGAGACAGATTTTTGCACTGCCTTCACGTCAAACAATTATGTCTATGTTGAACAAAATTCCAGTAGACGTTGGTAGGGGAACCCGGGGTGGAACGGGGTACCGGGGCGGAATGGGAAAGCGCCACGACGCTCGCCACAAATGACGGAGACACATGAGCATCACGCACAACGTTGTGTTCGCTGCGCCGCATTATATGGAGTGGTCGTTGTCAGTGTGAGAGTGCGTTTGATTTGGATTCTATCGAAGGTCAACAAAAAAGCTTGCGAATTCTAAGTTTTGCTATGCGACACAAAGGTAATTACATTGTACACTATTTTTTGTTCGGAAATGGACATTATATGTTTGCTTCAATATACTTTTGGCTATCCAAAACTGTATTGATAACTCGAGTTCAACAAACATAACCTCCCATAATACTGATGTGTATGTGAGCGGTGCTTCGGGGCGCAATGGGTGGGGCACAATGGGGTATACCCCATTCCGCCTCTGATCATATTTGTACTTCTCATATTAGTAGGTATTATTGTTCCTACTGCATATATAAAAAAAACGAGCCGGTAGTCCTGGTCTACGGATGCTATGAACCAAGCTGTGGATGCGGTTATTAGTGGACAAATGGGATACATGATGGCATCTAACCGATTTAACGTGCCCTCATCAACACTGGAGCGATATGTTCAGAAAAGACGGAAGAATCCAGGAGCTGATAAAACGTCAGGAAAATATCACACTGTTTTCACTGCTGAGCAAGAGCTAGAGCTTGTAGCTTACTTGAAAGATATGCAAAAACAACTCTTCGGCATGACTATGAAAGAGTTTCGTAGACTAGCATATCAGCTAGCAGAAAAGAATAATTGCAGCCATAAGTTTAGCAAAACTTTGGAAATGGCGGGAGAAGACTGGGTTAGGGGCTTTTTGACGCGTCACCGTGATTTAAGCCTTAGAAATCCAGAAGCAACATCTGGAGCAAGGGCTATGGGTTTTAACAGAGTAGCTGTATTGCCATGATTTATACTCTAACTCCAATGAAGGCTGGTGTTGTTGTACTATCTGTAAGAAATGGGCACATTTGACGTGTACTGGTCTAGACAGTGATGACGATGAAAGTGTTCTCATCTGTGAGCTGTGCCAATAATTAGTACCCCATTGTACCCCGGGGAGTGGGGCAGAATGGGAAATTTCCCTTTTTTTTTTCAAACATAAATTTTTAATAGTAATTATTAATTTAGATAAGTTTAAATACAGAGTCTTGGTAGAAAAAAGATTAAATAAACCTACAAAATGGCAAATAATTGTGTAGTTTCATTCAAGCTCTCACAAATTGCAACCAAAGCTTAGGTATCCCGTTCCACCCCGGGTTCCCCTATAAACAAAATAATTTTCGACAATCTTAAAGAATCTGCTTCAAAATTAAATAACCAAGATAGAATATGTGCATTAATTTTTGATGAAATGTCCATAATGCCCCACATAGAGTATGACAAATATACGGATACATTTTTCGGATTTCAAAATTTTGGATTTGAACAAAATTTACAGATAGCAGATCATGTTCTTGTTTTTTTCATTCGCAGAGTGTTTAAAAAATGGCAACAGCCAATATACTTTGCATTTTCTTTTCGTCTACAAAATCTTACATATTGACAACTATTATAAAAACTCTGGTTGAAAAAATACAAAATTGTGGATTCAAAATTCTGGTTACAATTTGTGATCAAGGCCAACCAAACCAAGCAGCTATAAATTCTCTGCTAAAGGAGTCGAAACAACGTTATATACATAAAGGGATGGAACCTAAAAGAAGAATTTTATTAGGGGATCAAGAAATTATTCCCTTATATGACACGCCTCATTTAATTAAATGTATTAGGAACAATCTGCTTACTAAAAATTTAGTGTGGAAAACAAGCGAGGAAATTTTGGTTGCAAATTGGAAACATATAATCGATGCGTACTACAGTGATCAAACATGTGGAGAATTACGGGCTCTACAGAAAATTACGGATCTCCACGTAATTCCGGAAAAAATTCAAAAGATGAAGGTGTGCTATGCTACACAAGTTTTGAGTCACTCAATGGCATCGACTATTACGCTATTGGTTAAATCTAGTAAATACAAATTTAAAAATAATTAACAGATTCATTTACAATTTAATTTTACAGCCGAATGCAGTTTAACACACGAGGCAATGGGAACAGCACGAATTATAAAATTTTTTGACAAGCTCTTCGACAGTGTAAATGGCAGTACTTTTCAATCACGGTGCGGAAAACCATTTTCTGGGGGCGTATTTAAATCTTCTGGTCATAAACATTTTTGGAAGGAAGCTATCAAAATTTTGGGTGATAGGTATGTATTTCGTCGATGAGGCCGGAAAAATGGTAGTACCTCCGTGTATAAAAAACTGGATTGCAACGTTAGAAGGTTTTGTGGATTTACATACAATTTTAGTAGAACAGGGCAGGTGCAAATATTTTTTACCTAGATGTTTAAATCAAGATGTTATTGAAAACTATTTTGGCAAAATCAGAAGTCAAAGAAATCGAGCAACTAATCTAACGGCAGCCCAATTTAAGGAAAGTTTCAAATCTCTATTATTACGCAATTTTTATAGTTCAAATTCAGGGGGCGCAAACTGTGAGAAAACGAACATACCGGATTTATTTCATATTAAAAGACTTGTGGATAAAAACATAAATCAACCTTCAGTAAATGAAACGAGTTACGAAATTTTAAACGTGAATATGTACATTTCAAAACTGTCTCCATATAATTTAGAAAAAGATCTTCATAAAAGTATTGTTGGTTATGTGTCTGGCTGGGTTGCGAAAACATTAAGAAATTTGAAGTGTGAATATTGTAAAACCCAAATTTTAAACAATTTTTCGGAAGACGAACAATGTTACAAATTAATACGTATAAGAGAATACAATTGTAATAACAGAAAATTGCAATATTGTAAGTTAGATTTTATAAAAAACATTAACAGAATTTATAATATTTCAAGAATCGTTTTAAACAATTGTACATTTTTCGACAACATCAAAAACAAAATTTCGTTTATAGTATCTCATCATGTCAAATTTTCGTTTCATTGTGAACATAAGGAATTAATTGAAAGTGAAATATGTAATAAAATTATATATTTAACAATTTTTACGTTTGTAAAAGGTTTGAATTTAATTTTAAGCGGTCGCGATACAAGAGTTTCCACACATAAAAATGCATTATATCAAAACGCTTGTATAATGTACCAAAAAAAATTAAAGTCAAAAAATCGTAGACAATACTAATAAATTGTATATTATTCTACTTTGTGTTTTTGATATTATTAGTGATAATAAAAATAAAATATTAATTATAAAATATGCAGCAATGACGCATCTAGTAGTTCATGCTTTAGCACCGGCCACAAGGCACCAGGGGGCGTTTATTGAGACCAAAAATCAAGTGGGAGTTTGCATTCTATTTACGTAGTATTATTTATCTATGTTGCCTCCACTCCCGTAGCGCCATCTAGTGAGTTCGCGTTACACTCCCTCTTTAGATTACACGGACTGCCCACAGGTGGAATCTAATATCTGAAAACTAGAAAGTAAATATGGCTTTATGTACAGCAAGTGCATGTTGGTCGTTTTCGAAGGCGTTGACCAGAAGGCTGGACTTGCGTAACATCTGGTTCAGCCGCGTCTTCTTCCGCATCGGGTACGACCTCGGGAGCGGGCGCCTTCTTGGGACGACCACGGCGTCGAAGAGGCACCACTGTATTTTTGCCCATTGGCTTGTCTGGCTCTTCTCGAAAGCAACAATGTAAGTCACTGGAGACTTCTTCTCGATCACGATGTATGGACCGTCCCGTCGAGGGGTGAATTTGCTTGAAAAACCGCGCTCTTGACTACTAAGAGCGTGCACATCCACGAGAACCTCGTCACCGATGTCGAAGGTGGGCGTACGCCTGCGTCGTTGGTCCGCGTATTTCTTCGCTCGATCTTGTTGCTGCTGGGACCTTTCGCGCGAATCCTTTAATGTCTCCGCGATCACCTTTAGGTACGGCGTTATTTCCGCGACGAAATTTTCGTTGTTCACGACCGCACGAATGTCAGTATGCACATCAAAAGGTGTCCTCATCCCGACCGAAGCACAGAAAAGCGGGCGTTTTTCCGGTCGAACCGTGCCTGGCACCATTCATCGCGAACCTTACCGACGGTAACGAAACACTCCACATATTATGTTTCTCCTCAACTAGGATGGCTAGTTGCGTTTTTATATCCCTGTTTCTTCGTTCTTCGGGATTTGCAGAGGGGTAGTAGAGAGGAGTCAAATTTTGCGTGAAGCCGAGGTAGTAGGCGACCTGTTGCATCACTTCTCCTACAAACTGTGGCCCATTGTCGCTGATGATTTTGCGGGGCGTCCCATAGCGGCGTATTACCTCATTTATGAGACACTTGGCACATGCTTCGGCGGTTGCTTTTTGTAGTGGAAATAGTTCAATCCATCTGCTAGCTGTATCTTCAATAGCCAGAACCCATCTTTCCTGAGCAGGGGTCGCTGGAAGAGGGCCGAAAAGATCCATAGCTAGTACTTCGAATCGCTGTGCCATAACGGGCGTTTGCAGAAGTCCCGCAGGTTTTAAATTGCTGCATTTATATTTTTGGCATTCTGCGCAATTTTGGACGTGTCGCCTCACATCACGTCGCAATGTGGACCAGTAATACCTGCGATTTACCTTTTCAATAGTTCGCTCGACACCTGGATGACCTGCAATAGGTGAATTATGAAATTCGGTCATAACGTCTGGTACCTGCTGCTTTGGGACTACAAGCTGTGGCACTTCGCTATCAACGTCCGGGGAATATCTATACAAAATACCGTTGGACAACATATAACCGCGACCCAACCAGCGACACACAGTCTCTTCATTGTTGGTTTCGAGGTCATTAATTATTGCCACCAACTCTTCGTCCTTGAGTTGTTCATCCCGTAGCTCTCTGGTCGAAACTGAGGGAAAACTGATCTCTACGGAACAAACCTTGATGTCGGTGGGATCACCAACTATATCCGTCACTGGGGGACGCGACAATAGGCGTTTACGATTGTTCAACCTCAGTTCCTGACCCCAACCCGGGAGTCACGTGATTGGGTAACAGAGGTTTCAACCCAGTTCTTGTAATAAACGAATGCACTGATTTCACGGTTTCTTCCTAGGTGGCAGACTTTAACAGTAGTAGGGATTTTTTGTAGTAGGTTTGTAGCTGTCATAACAGCCATAACATAACCTCTTTAGATTTACGAACAAATGTTGGGTTATTTTTTTTTTGTTCATAATTGTAAATGGGTACTACCGTTGAAAGGAGACGCAAACTAAGATGTCTGATAAGGGCAAGTATGGCCATTATCAGTGCGTTAAATGATAGCGACTCTGAAGATGATGTGCTGGTGTTAAAAATGTTATCAAATGTATTAAAGCCTCCACGTCGAAAGAGAAATTGCATAACCACCTTTATGCAAACGGTTAGCATGTACAGACCTGATGGTAAGTTAAAGTAACATTATTTTCATTAAATTTGAAATTTATGTTTTTTGAAGAATTTCGTTCCCATTTTCGCATGTATCGTGAAACGTTTCATGGGATAGTGGAACTGCTTGCTCCGAAAATAGTGAACGTTGAACAGTTTGGCCCTGGCCGCCCTCATATAAATGTTGAAAAGCAAGTACTTGTGTTTTTATGGTTCATGGCGAACCAGGAAGTTTTTAGGTACGTATAGTTAACAAAAAGTTTGCAGCATTTGGACATAAGTCAAATTTTAGGTCCATTGCAGATCGTTTTGATCTTTCCAAATCAACTTGTTGGGATAGCGTGCATAAAATTGCATCAATATTATGTCAAATTTCTAAAGATCATATTGTTTGGCCAACAGAAAGGCAACTGAATGAAACCATTCAGGGTTTTCAATTACGGGGCAATTTTCCGGGCGTTGTTGGTGCGATCGATGGGTGTCATTTTAGAATATCAACTCCAGTATTTGAGCACACATCCTATATTAATAGAAATAAATACCACTCCCTACATTTACAGGGAGTTTGTAATTCCAAATACCTCTTTATCGACTGCTTTGTTGGTATATAACCAAAATCAAAACATACATTTTTATTAACTTGTCCTCATTTCAGGGTATCCGGGAAGTGTACATGATGCACGAGTGTTCAATAACTCCCCAGTTTTGCAAATGGTTCAATGTGAAGCCCGTTTTCCTCAAACAGTGCATTTATTAGGGGATTCAGCATACCCAAATAGGACATATATATTAACACCATTTAAAGATAATGGGCATTTAACAGCTCCTCAGAAAAACTACAACAGAATTCATTCCAAGACGAGATGTGCCATTGAACAGACCTTTGGTTTACTGAAAGGACGCTTTAGAATTTTGCGTTCCATAAATAAGGTGAGAACTGACTTGGTTCCAACAATCATATTAGCTGGTTGTGTTTTACACAACATTGCTATGCGGATGGGGGATGATGACATAGAGGTGTTCGAGGAGGATGAGAATATTGCAGAAGAAGTGGAAGGTATTCCTGAACAGCAAGGGAACCAGAAGCGTGAACACATTGTAAATTTATTATATTATGATAATTTTAACTAACAAAAATAAAAATATTCAGACAAATGTATTTAACAATTCAATGATATATTAACAAAATAAACATACTTTCTTGGTAACATCAAGTAAAAAAACTGATAAAAATAAAGTTTTCTTTCTACTTTACATGCAAATTCAATTTTCCACTTTATCACTCAACTTCTCAACAGCCTCAAGCAATTTGGCTTGGATAGCCATCTTCTCGTTATGTCTCCTCTCAGCTTGTTCTTTATAATCAACTAACCATGTTGGCTCATCACTCGTTTGCTGACAAGGCCGCTGACGCTTGTTTCTTCTGATTTTATAGTTGTTGGGTTGCTTTTCCTGTACCGTTTCGCTAGTACCAGGCATGTCTTGTACATTTTTGTCAGTCGGCATTGTGCCTAAGAGTACTGGGGGTTTTATTTCTGGTCTTTGCCCAAATAATTTATCCATAGCAGAGAAGTACGGCCAGTCTGCCCTGTCCCTTCCACTGGAATTGTTGTGATCCACTATTTTTTTATATTGTTTTTTTAAGTTTTTCCATTTATTTTCCACTTGCTCAATCGTTACATGGTACGAATGCGACTGCATTTCCGCTGCTATCTGTCCCCAAACACTCCTGTTTGTACATTTTTTCGAATCAAAGCAAATTTTATGTTGTTCATACAAAGTTATGAAGAGTTTTGTTGAAGCGTCATTCCAAATATAAATCGTTGGGTTTTTCATCGGCCTTTGGATATGAAATTCTTCTGATATTTCTGATACTGCAATAAAATTTATTTTCATATTGACATGCAATTTAATAATATACACACCATCATCACACTCATCTTCCCTTGATGTCATTTTTTTCGTTATAAATATTGCTCTGCCTGAAGTCTCTGGCCTGGCTCTAACCTCTAATCACTTTCCCGCGTTCTATTGTAGTTGTAGCTGCATCGTATTTCTTTTTAATGCGCATGCGGTTTCTTGACATCGCCATTGCTACCCTGCTTCTCGAGCAGGTTCAAATGATCCAACTCGATCCGCTAACTGGTTCCTTTAACTAAATAAGCGAACACCGATCCAGGAGACCCGGTTGAATAATCGAACGCCTGAACCCAAACCTTTTGGATCGGGTTGAATATTCGTAAACGCCTAATGTATCTGCGACAACATTGCTCCGCCCCGGCGTCGAAGGACTGGAGTAACGCGCCAACCTTCCCGACGGAGACTTCAAAGATATCAGCCATTTCAGAGGTTGGTGATCTGAAGCCACAGTAACTTTCGCCCCTTCTAGGTAGCCGCGAAACTTCTGAACGCCGAACACAATGGCAAGTGCTTCTCGTTCGGTCGTGTTGTAGTTCCGCTCCGCTGCCGTCAGAAGTCGGCTAGCGTACTCAACGGGCCGTTCTTCGGGACCCTCCCCCTGCAGTAGACACGCACCTAGAGCGTATGCACTAAAATCCGTACGCAACGTATACGGTAGGGATGGATCTGCTTGGCGTAGTATGGGTGCCGTCGTGAGCAGGTGTTTCAACTTTTCAAACGCTTCTCCCTGTGCGCTCCCCCACGTCCACTGAGATTTCTTCTTGATGAGGTATGTCAAGGGCTGGGCCACATTTGAAAATTCAGGTATAAATCGACGAAACCAACTACACGTCTGCAAGAAAGACATTAGTTGCTTGACATTACTTGGTGGTTGCATGTCCACAATCGCGGATACTTTATCAGGGTCGGCGGAGATCCCGCCACTACTAATTACATGTCCGAAAAACTTTACGGCGGCACGGGCGAAAACACATTTCTTCCGGTTAGCACTTAGTCTGAACTGACGTAGTAGCTCAAACAGGTCAGGTCAGGTGTTCTTCGAACGTCTCTGATAGAATGATCAAGTCGTCCATATATACCAGCAAACATACCCCAGGAACGCCAGCCTTAAATCGATCCGTAAGCCGCTGGAAGGTGGCTGGCGAATTGCGCAAGCCAAATGGCATTCGGATAAAACGGTATAGACCGGATGGCGTTATGAATGTTGTCTGGTCACGATCTTCCATCCTAACGGGGACCTGCCAAAACCTTTTTTTTTTTCAAATCGATAGTGCTCATGTAAAAACTTCGTTTGGCGGCATGGAGCAGATCGTCAATTCGCGGCAGGGGATAGCGATCTGGGACAGTCACGTGATTTAATTTTCGGTAGTCCACACACACGCGACTGATTGCTTGTGAAAACTCTGACAATGACATTGACTTCATTGGGGAATCTGATCCACCACCTCTCGTGGAGCAGCTGAATAAGGAACCCGAACAAGGAGATTTTGTTTTAATTTTATTCGAAGAAAAAAAGAAAAAAATATATTACATCGCAGAAGTCTTACGCAAAAGTGAAACTGAAGAATACGAGGTAAAAAGAAGATATCTCTCTGGTGCCCATTGAAAAAATAAAAATGGTACTTCCAAAGCCGGCACATGTGGGAACAACAAAGCGACAGAAGTCGTACTTCAAATTTGAAGTAAATTTTCACAATCTTGACATCCATTAAAACACTGTCTAATTGTGGAACATTGTATGTCTGACAGTGGAACATACATGTTCCACGATTGGACAATTTCATTTTAATTTTTCAAAGGCAATTATTATTCAGCTTTTTTTTAATATACGTCTGTTTTTTTTGTAAAAATCTTTTCTTTTATTACTTATTTCTTACATGCCGAGGAAGTTTATTTTTTTTGTAATAAATTTAAGTTCTATACAATAAAATGTATTTTTTGTCTGATTGTGGAACACCTTCCCCTATCACGAATTTGGCGTGCAGTGTTCGATGATCTGTTATCAGATTGTCGTCCTAAACCAAGTTAAATCTATCAGTATACTGATAGATTTAACGTAAGTTTACAACAAAGTTGCTCTATATAGTATGTGTCCTAGATGTAATTGCGATGATTTCTGTATATTTTTAAGGAATTTGGAACCAAATACTAAAAAACCAAAGTGAAATGAAGTATTCGATTAAAGCGTTGACGAAGAAAGTGGATGAAATGGATACCATGATGAGAATAAAATATTCACAAATAACCAGCTCATCTGGATCCATCAATGACAGCATGTTTGTTGATAAACTGCCATGCAGTAGCTCAGACGATTCAAATGCATTGGACAGTTGCATCATGGACGATCAAATTTTTTCAGACTTGGTATGGTACCCACTTACAGTATAGTACATTCATATAAGAATATGAACAAACTTTGTAGGTCAACTTTTTGTATCTAGTAGGTGGAGAAACTGTCACTAAAACGATATATATGATAATGAAAAAATTGATAACAAATACTCTTGCAACAAATTACTCTGGTGTTGGCAAAAAGCACAAATTGCCTTTTTGCAACTTAAAAAAACTTACAGTACAATTTTAGGTAAAATATTATATTAAGATCAAGCACATTAAATAATATTGTCTTTTGCAACGGCATCAGACGAACAAATTAAGAAAACTGTTTCGTTATAGTTGGCCCAAAGCAAAAATCGAATTACACATACAAAAGTTTAGTTTAAATTTACTCTGAAAATTGCAGGTAATTTTGTGGCTATAGAATTTTCAATTTTCACACTTGTACCTACACTTTTCTATTAACTGTTGTTAATAAAATTATCATCTAGATTAAAGTCTTGTATTACGTGTGTAAAAAAATCTCATTTGTAAAATCTTCATTTAAAATAAAATTTCTTGAAAAGAGTTTTTCTTTTTTTTAATTTTGCTGGTGTATAACTGTCAGTTGGATAAGTAGAGAATAAAGCGTTAAGATTAGTTCTTCATCTTAAATGTTTTTGAATAGTTAAGCAAATATTACAACAGATTTACATTTTTTCTATTAAGGAGTTAGAGCAAAATGATCTGCTGTTTATTTAATTAAAAAATATATTGCAATAAACTAATGAAATATACAGACGGTGTCCGGAAAAAGCGGATTACCTCTTCGATAAGTCCTGGTGAGTAGTGAAAATATATTTTAAAACAATCCTTAATTTTGATGGAGTTATAATTATCCTTATATAAGTTTCATTTTTATTACGTTTAACAACTATAATAACGCGTCCGATAAGTTGTGTGTAATAAAACTTCATGATCAAACATTAATTACTGTTTCAGTTGAAATGTACAGTTAGGGACACGGAATTTCAAACGACAACCAACTTTCTGACATTTAAAAACATTGTAGTCTTATATCTTATTGTCATTATGATTGACAGGTCGTTTGAAATTCCATGTCCCCAACTGTACAATGTTATGATTGTTTTGTTTTTGTAGTGATTTTATAAAATATTTATATGATCGAAAAAATTGTCAAATTCAATGTTGTTACAATATTATATTGCTAATAAGGTGCGAGACAAAAAATTATCACGGCGCAATTTTTTAAGAATTTTTTATTATGTACTCCTTTAACTAAATAATACATACTGGAGAAGTCAATTTAGTTTATAAAAATGCTTTTTTCAGTGATATTTTTGCATCAAATAATTTCTGATCTGTGAAAACTCAATTGCGTCAAGAAATTTTGGGACAAAAAATTATCACGCATCACTTTTTATATAAAAACTAATTAAAAAAACGTAATATGCGTAATTGCTGTTTATTTGTACGATATGCAATTGTTTGTTAGAACTGTCAAAGTGTCGAAATATATTTGGCTGAGCTATAAATGCTATAATAATTGTCTTTCGTCATGGGCAAAGAAAACGATCTAACAGAACGCGAAAAAGGACAGATTGAGGCATACTGTGACCAAGGTTTGAGTTTTGCGGAAATAGGAAGATAGATTGAAAGAGATCGGAGCACAATCTTCATGTTTGTAAGAAAGAAATACCGTGAAAATGGACGACAAAATTGTGGAAGAAAAGAAAAACTCACTACACGTGCAAAAATATCCATTGTGACTCTGGCTACAAAGGATAACATGTCGTTCCAAAAGATAAAGAGAACCCTATGACTTCCTGTTCACAAAAGAACAGTTTTGCTAGTACTGACTAACGACAAAAATGTTAAATATGCCGAATATAAGAAATAACCAATGTTAACAAAAGAGCATATTAAAAAACGTCGTGATTGGGCCAGAGAAATGCAGACGAAAAATGAAGAATGGTTCCAGACAGTTTTTTCAGATGAAAAGAAATTTAATCTTGATGGTCCTGACGGTTTTAGATATTATTGGCACGATTTCCGGGAAGAACCAAAGTATTTGTCAAAACGAGTTCAAGGAGGTGGCAATGTTATGGTCTGGGCCTTTAATAGCTTAGGAAATACAAACTTAGCATTTATTTCAAATCGAATACACTCTCTGGATTACCAAGATGTGTTGGAAATGCACTTCAAACCACCTTTGAACCTATTTCAAGACAGCAAAGTGATTTTTCAGCAAGATAATGCGTCGATTCATGTGTCTAATTCATCGAAAACGTTGTTTGAACGAGAGAATATAGCTTGGCTACCACTGCCTGCGAAAAGCCCAGATCTCAACCCTATTGAGAATGTATGGGGTTCTGTTGTACGAGAGGTTTATAAAGATGGGAAGCAGTACGCAACAGTTAATGAATTGAAAGATGATATCTTGACGACTTGGGAGAATTTGGACGTCAATTACTTTATCCAGTTGATCAATTCTATTAAGAAACGCGTCTACAATCTCATAGAAGCAGGCGGAAAATACATTGGGTATTAAATTAGTTCTCTTTTACTTAGTTAATTAGTTCTCTTTTGAAACGTGATAATAATTTGTCACAATAAATCTTTTAACAAAATTACTTATTTTCAATAAATTTCGTTCAGTTTTGTGTTTTCTATGAAAATGTTTTATTAAATTAATTAAAAGTGGGATTGCTCTCTCAACCAGGTATATCTACTTTATTTTAATACGTTTAGGCAAAAATTCTGCACCGTGATAATTTTTTGTCTCGTACCTTATGTAGCTAATATAAAAAAACTATATATCGCATACATATTTTTTTAATATTTTTTCACCATAAGTTTTCAATATTTATTCAATAAAAAAAATGCCATAATCTACATTGTTCCAATATTACTACATAATATATAGAAAATATAAAAAAATTATGTATTATAAAGATTTCTTTCAAATATTATTTAAGTATAAGTTTTCAATATTTATTCAATAAAAAAAAAATTGTCACTTTCCATATTTACGAAACATTTAGTTTTAATATTTAGCACATATTTGTGTGCCACAGAGGTAGAACTAAAAATAAAATAAAAAGAGACCCTTATTCCACCCCGGTACGACGCCTAGTATGTACGGTGATGAGATCACTGATCTTTTTTTATGAACAATTAAATAAAAAATCCTCGATGACGGCGGCCAGGCGGCATTCGCTAAAAATGTAAAATATGGGCAAAAACAAGACTGAAACAGAGTGGTACTGTTCGAATGAATAGAAGAGATTGACCAACTCTTTTTGGCAAGTGGAGAATGGGATTGGATGACGCGAAATAATGTTTCTTGTGTAAAGTGGATGGACAAAAGGGCTGTGACTGTACTGAGAGACCGACCTGCGAATACAAAGCAAACCCATCCGGCCAATGAAGGAAGGAGAAGCATATCAACATCTCGATACCCCCACGGGATACCACGTCGATAGAACACCTGAACACACCCTATGTGCCATGAACGACCAGCTCCATGAGATCTCCGAAAGTCCCCTGGCCCCTTGGCAAAAAATCAATGCGGTTAACACGTTTATAGCGCTTAAAATAGATCTTTGACTAAAAGGATCGTCCGTGCAAAAAAGAGCAGTGCACAGTTTTGACAAACAGCTAGCCCAGATACCTACCATACAGCAAGGGAGGGGCCAACATCATACCCCTCGCTGACCTGGTGGATACGGCTACGACCACCCATGCCACGAAAATGCTCACCACCCTCGATAACACCATCAATAGCATAGCTAAGTGCCAGCTGGAGGCAGTGCTGAGGCGACGTATCGGCCGAAGACCAACGGAGGCCGACCTTGCACAATCCATTCACCACTTGCTAGTGACGTGATTGGAAAACGGGGGATGGCTGAAGATGAAGACAATTAGTCTTCGAAACATGTCCCCTTTCGTATATTTAAAGTTAGAATTATATCTGTGGAGTATAGACTTATTTTAGAATACCTAACTTTTGATAACGCTCCACTAAGAGTAGGAGTATATACATATAAATATAGATATATATTTTTATCACAATGAAGAATGAAAATTTTCCTGAAAAACCTCTGGGGATTTCGTTTAGAAAATTTTCCGAAAACGGAATGTTGGATGTAATAGCCAGAGTTCTTCAAAGCAAGGTTGCTCTTTTCACTAACAATCTATTAATGTACCCTTCAAAAGCATTTATTGCCGAAATTGTATATAAAAAAATCATCTTTCAGAAGATTCCTGAATTTATTAAAAAAACTTTTTACTGATGGATGTTGACGTCAATTTAGAATTTCTACATTGTGAGAAGTGCATCATGAACAACTTGTTCACTTTACAAGGTACACTTTAATTGCGACAATGGTGAAACATTTTGTAGGAATTGTTAATAAAAAAATTCATAAAAAAAATTTCCGACAAAATCAAATTATTGATGAGTACTTGAAACAATATGCACCTGCAAATGCACATCTGTGACTTCTTTATTAAGCATTTTTTTATAACATTTTATATTTAACATTCGAAATTTATTATTTATTTTATATACTGATTTGAATAAAAAGTGCAACACCTATTATTCGTCAAGGGATTTTGTTGAAATTTTCACAGAAGGTGTAATCTAGCATATGCAGTAAGTGATTAAAATTGGAACAAAAAATTCCAGCGATAGCTGGACTTTTCTTCTGTCTTTTGTCTACAAGGTCTGGCTCTGTCACATAGCCAATGCATAACTCTTACCAGCTTTTCTGTCAAATTCGTGTCAAACGCATCTTTCACAATGCCTAGAATTCGACAACCTGCCAAGTATCGTCACCTAAGTCAGTTTGAACGAGGCCGAATAATTGGTTTGAGAGAGGCTGGATTTTCATTGCGGGAAATTGCCAATCGTGTGGACCGCAATGTAGCAACGGTACTAAGATGTTGGTCGAGATGGTCTGAAGAAGGACTTCATGAGCGTCGCCGCGGATCTGGACGTCCTAATACCACTACTGCTCGTGAAGAACGTCACCTAAGAACTTTAGCGCTAAGAGACAGGTTTTCCACAACACGTGCTGTGGGAAATCATTGGTTGGAAACTCTAGAAAGAAGACTGTCAATGGCATCCGTATATCGCCGAATAAGATCTTATGGACTTCGTTCGTACCGACCATTTTGGTGTCTACCTCTTACTCCACGTCATCGCACCCGCAGGCTAGAGTGGTGTAATGAGCGAGTGAATTGGGTGCAAGAATGGCATAACGTGGTGTTCAGTGACGAATCCCGTTTTTGTTTGTGGGCCCATGATGGGCGTAGGAGGGTCAGACGACTACGTGGAGAACGCAGAAATTTAGATCTTGCTCTTCAACGTCACACTGCCCTTACGCCAGGAGTG